TAGCTGGTATTGAATTCTATTTATTACAAAAAAGCACATTTCCTTGCAGTTTCTAATTTCATTTGGTATTAAAATCCCCTTGTTGTAATTGCTGTCATTCTCTCTATGTTTTTCCCTAATTATTCTGACTAGAGTAAATTCTCAATTATTCAGGGACTGTGTATTTAATCTGTGGATTTTCCAAATCCTCTCCTTTTAATTCTGTCTTTTACTGTACATTCTTAACCACTTATATGTTTCCTATTTTTATAACTCACCAGATGATAAATGATGGTAGAGTGAGAAGTTCACATTAAAATAAGCAGTTTGTTATTTTTATAGAAATTGCTGGTAAAGAGTCTGATTCCAATGAACGCATAAAATTAAAACTTTAACAATTTGTGGATCTTAATCCTTTCTTAATAATCATATATAATTTAAAGTTAAAACTCTACACTTTCTTCTTAAATATAATAATTTTACCAAGACTAAAGCTGCAAGTGCTTTTTAAAAATGGCCTAATGTCATCCCACTCCATACCACCCATTACTAAACTACACGTAGCTTGAGATAATGGAGGCTGGAAGGTTTTGTTCACAAATTTGAGAGGATTTAGAAGTTCTTACATAGAAGAGTCATTGAATAGGTTTAGAAATTAAGCTGGAAAGAGAGGTTAATGACAAACATGTTCTGAGCCCATGACTTCAGAAAAAACTTACCCTAAGGATATCGTGATGTAGCAAAATGTATGCATGGGAATCTTAATCTTCATTTAAGTGCTTCTCACACCAACTTCAGGTCTTTTTGACCCCAAGATATTTTTATGCTGTCCTTGGGCTCTGGAAAAACACCCACTGTCCTCAATCCCATTAACTACCTCTCGAACACTCAGCTATTTTCCTTCCACTATACACAGGTCAGAATTTCTATTCCCCCTTCCTGTTGATCTTTCCTGGTGATGAAAATAATAAAATAAATAGATCCATACTAAAGGGTTGTCATAGCCACCTATAAGCCTTCCCCACTCTTTTTCCTTTAAGAAAATTCACAATGAAAAGAAATGGAAACCCAATGGAATGTCAAATTACTTTAATTTCTGGAAATTGAACAAAGGACACTATGTTCTGCTACAATGCATGTTTCTGTAGAATGAATGAACTCAAATGACATTGGTAAATACAGGAACAATGTCAGAACATGATGTGGAAGTTGGTTGATTTATATGTGATCATGTTCGTCATTAATATTTACCACCACCAGGGACCAGCTACCGAACACAAGGTACACTGACACAGTTGACTGCAGCTAGCCAAAGAGGAGTGTATCACACCCTACATTCTTCCTCTCGGCTCTGCCTCTGCATATGCTCTATGTCTTTGAAATGTTTACTAAGCTTTCTCCCCATCTTTGTGCATTTTGCTTTTTCTCCATAACTAACTCTTCCTTATGGCTCTTCCATCAAGCTATCTTCACTTACATTTACTGCAGTGTTTATCAGGTTAACATCTTGTTTAACTGCTACTGTTTTTATTAGAATTAGTATTCTTAGTGCTCTTGGTTACGAAGTTGCACAGGTTTTGATGGTCTACTCAACCCAATTTTCCCTTAAGTTTGTTATTTTTAGTGCACAACATTGCAGAATGTGAAGGTTTTCACGAACACGTGTATCACGTGATTGCAGGAATGCCTGTAAAGAATTTTAAAAAGTGTGGGGAGGATTTCTTTCCATCCCGCCTTCCTTTTTTTTTTGTCCTCGCAGCCTGGAGAAAGAAGGTGAGGAATTCTTCCCCCTGCTCACAGAATCTGTATTCTAAATGTCTGTTATAAGTGCTTGTTTCTAGAGTTTAAAAGCTACCCAAACAACTGAAATCTTCACCAGTGTTTTTCCAAAGTTATTATTATCAGTAATGATGAATTTAATTACCAAAGCTCCCAAAGGAGCACAATTCTAATGTTACTGGTCATGTCTTATCAAAATTCTCTTTGTGTTTAGTTAGGTCCAGATTCTTTGCTTCAAATGTCTTTTCCTACAAGCATGTATGGTATTTTGAGAAATAGTCTCATTACATCATCTTCCTCCTTATCATCACTTTATTTTGACATATTTTTGGAAGAGGCTTGGCAATCTACAGCTCTCCTTAGTTGTATTTAAGATTCAATCAGGGCCTGTTCTAGGCTTACAAAGACCTACAGAACATTGAAGGTTTCCTCAAGATTGGCTACATGTCTCAGGGTTTTTCACACATTCAGAAACCTTGTTTCTACAAAATGTAAAATGTTGTAGGTTGGCTAAAAGGATGGGATCCAATCAGCTATCCATCCACATGAACAATGTGGGACACCACATTTCATCGGAAATCAAGGGGGCACATCTGAGTCCTCTGGCCCTGTCTCTACCCTCCTCACCTGCAGAACTCCTGCAGGTATTCCAGACAGTAGGAAAATATTTTAATTCCAGAAAGTATTAGAAGAGAACAAAGATACATAAATGCTAGCAAACCATGTAATATTTATTATAAGTGAGAGGAATAAATCAAGAAAAAAAATTGGGGTATGGAAATGGAGCCAGATATAAAGCTAAAAAAAGCACAAGTGAGCCATAAATTTGGCTGTTTTCTAGTAGCCCATGTGAGAAGGGTCATCTACCAAATATACTATGTCCATTAGCTGAAATAAACCAGTTATTTAGAGGACATACACTTATTTTTGGAACTAACCCCATAGAGGAATTTTTCTCTGAGGATCTCACAATCTACGTGCTAAGTAATATTTTTGCACTTTGGAGCAATTTTAAGGATGGAATTGATAAGAGGGTTGGCTTCTCATCATTACTTCAGCAGGGGTAAGAGTTAGTTGGAATGAAGTCTTTCCAGGCTAAAGAATATATGCAAATTATTGATGTAGGTAATTTTATTCCCCTACTGTATCCCAGTTCTTTGAAGGTAGGATTTGCATATTTATCACAGACTTAATAGTTAGATAGTTGGTATTTATTAAATCATTAAATGAATGAATGCCTCATCGGATGCCTCTCTGCTCTCCAGCACCAAGTACCTATAGCCAGAATGGCAGAGTTCATCTACTTTTGCTACCGTATTGAGGATTCAGTTTCCTGGGGCCTCAGAAAGAGTGCCACATTTGATTAGCTCTATTAGGGAAGTGGTACACGGGGTGTTTCATGAGTGCCTAGTATTTGTCAACCTTGGGATCCTATATACTGAAGGTGGCTCTTTTGGGCCTATGAGATAGATCTCCAATGAGACTTCCTTAAACTAAAGGGTTGTTTGGGGTTAGGAATTGAAAGACTTGTGTTCAATTTGTCAAGAATTAACCTTACGCAAATCCTTCAATATCTGTGTAACTTTTTCCTAGCATGTAAAGATCATTACCTGCCTTCCCTAGCATCTACGCCATCCCAGTCTTTAGCCCATTATTGTTTATGTATTTTACTTTCTGGTTTGTCCTATGAACACACCTATCTGGAGGCAGAATTTTATTGGTTTGTATCCTGAATGCTTATCACAATGACTGTTATATACTCAGTAAAATGTCCATTGGTCCAGTGATTTAATGGAAATATTTGGAAAGTTTCAGTGCTAAATAAATTTAAGCTGTCCTAGGAAAGCAGGTAGAACTGTTCTTTCCTTAGGGCTGGTAGTTTCTTCCTGTGGCCCAAATGGCCCTAAGCGATCACTAACAGTTCATACAGAGATTGGACAGTGCTTGGATGTTGGTCCATCTCACACTCTCATCCTTCCAGAAGTGTCCTCACTCCAAAGGGCTTGGGCTTCCTTTGAATCATCTGGTGTCCAGTGTCATACATTGCTCGTCATATACAGCCATGCTGATACTGTCAAACAATACCTGTAAAAAAATTAAAATGTCGAATATTTATTCAGTAGCACATTTTGTATGTCCAGCGCTCCAGGTTTGCATATTGCCTTTCCATAATTACAACAGCTGAGACATTAAGATCTTATTATGTACCAGGCACTATGTGCTTACATGTATTAAGTCATTGTATTCTTACATATCTATCGAGCAGATATGATTGTTATCCCTGGTTTGCAGGAAAGCACTGGCAAAAAACAAAGGTTAAGCATTTTGCCCAACATCACAGAGGTAAAGAGTGGTGGAGCCTAGGTTCCAACACCAGCTGCCTGGCTCCAGAGCCCAAGCTTTTAACCACTGTGCTATGCTGCCTCTTGACTAATTGCTTTAGTAGCTGTATTTTTACGATAATTCATTTATCTTTTGGAAAACAGTAACAATAAGAATTTTAAAACTTACTTTGCCTAATTATGAAATGTTTACCATTTACTTCTATAGTTACCCAAAGTTTTAACTGGTGTTCCTTTTGTGTGCTTATACTGGTAATGAGAACTCTACAGTACTTGTGTATTTATAAAACATATTTAAAAAATGGAATTTGGAAGAATGCTTTCGTTTGACCATATAGCAAAGGGGTTGTTATAGGAAGTTAAGAAAAAAAAAAAACACCAGAAATCTACTGAAAACCATACACTGAAATTGCAACTTAAAATATAGTTGACTCTAAAATAAGGAGCTATTTTATACCTCTAGCTTAAACCAGGCCTATGTTGCTATGACTGTGCCATTTACATAGGTTAACTATCTTGACATAATGGTGACAATTATAACTGTATTGCTTGCTATTCAAGGAGCGTGTAAAGTCGATGATTTTGTACGTTTCCCTTCATAATGGCAGATCTTGTGTTAACGCCAAATTTTAGCAAATACTTGAGTATTCTAATATGCAATGAATAAAGCAGAAAACTCAGTTGCATTAAACTATGTTAGAGTACTTCAGAAGACTAGTTTTTCACACCTGTTTTCTATTAGCATACAAAAGCTACTAGTATGAAAAGAACCAAACATTAAGCATGGCTGAATTACCCTGAAGCTATATTCTGAAGGGGTTTTAACACTTTTCTTAAGAACTGACAATATTAAAAAGGCAAAAGCATTATATCTCAGTACACAAGACTTCTTACTTCATCTATAAAAATAGAGAGAATGCCAATGTTTTATTTGCCACGGGGATAAGGAGAGAAACGTCAGTGAAATAAATTTGATAACATGACTCACACGTCATTACAAATGATTTTCCTAAATTCATAACTTTCATATTGGCTGAGGGAAAAAGAAAAAAAACAACACACTCAACACTAAAAAAGGAACTTCCACTTGATGTAAATAGGCCAAGTCACATGATTCCTCTAAATGAGGGAGTTTAAATGAGAATGAGTGTATTTTTCCAGCTGGGAAAATATTTTCCTTAATTTAGTGAGCTTAAATAATTTACCCGTGGCGATGAATAAGCCCTTGGGTCAGGTTCAGAAGCCTCTTCTATCTGTTTCATAAGAACCACACAAAAATTTATTATGGAACATACATGAAACATTTTCTTGGTTAAACCTTAATAAAGATAAGAATAAAAAATTCATACTACTTCACTGTCTTTCAGGTCTTTTTCTCCTTAATACACTTTCTAGATTTCTTAGGTATGTTGTATAATTATATACAAAATCTTTATTACTCAATGGAATAATGTGTTCACCAACTTAAGCACCCTACAGAAGCAGTAAGTGTAACGAGAACAAATTGCTTCCTCATCCTCCTCCCTCTCATATCAGCAGTAAGGTTTTTTTTAAAAACAGTGAGGAAGCAGCAGCCTAGAGGCACCTGGGAAGGGAGGGCATTCAAAGGAGAGAATATGGCTCTGGAGAGATATTCAAGTCATATTGGAAATTTATGGAGTCTAACTAAACCCTTTTACCCTTCTCCCTGGTTTCAGCTTTGGCTAAGGTGTGAGGTGTCAGGGATGTACATGGAGCCTTCACACACTGAAATTTTCTTCCGTGAAACAAAAGAAATAGAAATACAAGTGCTTGGTACCACACGCTTTTGAGACTTAAAAGCCCATTAATAAACACGCTGTTTCCGTCTTGGGGGAGATCGGGATTACTTTTTAATTAAATACCGCCAGGAGAAGCTCCTCGAAGGGAGGCTGAAGTCACTCTCCCTCCCCAGGAGCCACGAGGGAATAAGGGAGACAGAGGATATTTCCCCCTACTTGCACGTGGGATCTCCCTGTCCCCTTCGACCCCCCCGCCCCCCGCCTCTCCCACGCAGGTCTGGCCGCCTCGGGAGGTAGCTGGGAGAAAAGGCAACATTCAGTCCTCCATGGCAAAGTCTTTGGTCTTTTCCTCCTGGTCGCCCACTTTGTAGCGCAGCAGCACGCGCAGGAGCCGGTGGTTGTCCCGGGAGGGCAGCAGCGTGATCTCCCCGGAAATGTCCGTATCCTGCTCCACCTGCACAGGCTCGTTCAGGTAGAGGAGTGCCTGCTTCCAGTGCGTGACCGGGTGAAAAGGCGAGGTGGACAGCACCAGGGGCTTCTCCGAGTCCCCTCCGGGGAAGGTCACCTGGAACCAGATGGCAAAGCCATGCAAGGGCGCCGAGCCATAGCAGCTGAAGCGGAAGCGCCCGCCCACCCCGGCCTCCAGCTCCTGCTCCAGGCCGGCGCGGGCCAGCTCCAGTTGAGCAAAGCGCTGCGGCCGGGCCAGCACATCCTCGCCCGACAGGCCCTGCACCACGATTTCCGAGTGGCCCATGAGGCAGCGCGTGGCGAAGCCCTCCAGGCAGCTCATGTCCACGCCGTAGAGCTGCTTCACCTGGCTCCAGAAGTCTAGGCGCAACTCCAGCATCTGGTCGCTGATGGGCGCCACGAAGAGCTCCGCGGAGGCCGGTAGGAGAAGACCGCCCTCCTTCAGCCACTTGGTCCGCGCGTGGAGCACAGAGCTCAGCATAGACTCGTGCAGGAGTCCGTAGCCCATCCACTCGCTCACGATGGCATCCACCTGCTCCGGTAACTCCACCGTCTCCACTGGCCCCGGCAGGACGTGCACCCGGTCCTCCAGCCCGTTGAGCCGCACCACCTCCCGGGCCTGTTGCCAGATGGCGCTGGCCTCCACCGCATACACGCACCGGGCCCCGGCCTGGGCGCAGAAGATGCTAAGAATGCCGGTGCCCGCGCCCACGTCCAGCACCGTCTTGCCCCGCAGCGCTGCCCTGTTCCGCAAGATGCCCAGACGGTAGGCATCGGTGCGGACGCGGTCCGCAATCATCTCCTCGTGGACCGAGACGTCCGAGTAGCACTCGTAGTACAGCCGGTCCCGCTCCCTTCTGGTCCTCCGGGGTCGCGGCACGGCCGCCTCCTGCTCTCCGCCATCTTCCTCTTCAGTTCCCTCCCCTCCTCCGCCGCCGCCCCCCGACTCAAGCTTTCTTTTCTTGGGCTGCGACATCTTGGCGGCTCGGGCCGGTTCCCAGCGGGCGTTGCGCGGCACCGCGCGGGCTCCAGGAAGCGGGGCCTTCTGGGACTTGTAGTGCCCGCTCGCTCTTCCCACTTCCTGCAGGGTCGCGGGTCTAGTGCCCGCCGGATGCCTCCGAATTCTGCTCAACTCGTTTATCTGCTCTTTTGGTGTGCTGGAATCCGTTTCCCACCCACCGCACCCACATTCCATGATTCTTTACGTTCCCTCTCCTTCGCTTATCTCCTCGGTTCTCTTTTTGCTTTAACTCCCTTCCTGAAGTGGACACGCCCCCTTAAGACTGAAAAGTCACGTTTTTTCTAGTCTGCTCAACTCCCCGATTTTATTCCACCGAGTTATCTGGGCAGCACGCTTGAAACACTACCACCTCTCCTGGACGGTTGCAGCTCTTAAAGCTCTCCAGACTGTGGAGATTTAGAAATTGCGCTAACACGTTTTTCTTTTCTGTTTTCAGTGGCCTTAGGGTGCAATGGTGTAAGTGGAACGAAGTAAAAACCTAACAATGTAAAAACTTGGTTCTAATTCCAATGAGACCACAAATGAATTGAATGATTAGGGCAAGTTATATAACTACTCTTGACTTCAATTACCTGTTCACCCACTAGCAACAAAGAATCTTCATTGCAGTCGAAGAATTATGTTTCTGGTCTCTAATTCAGGAGAGTAGCTGCTTGGCTCATAGTCCTGCTCTGGTATTTCTGTGGCTCATCCAAGAGTTAAATCTTAGAAGGGTACAGATTAAGAGCAGCTGGAAAGCAACAGTGGCGTGATACAGTGAAACTCATTGCCATGTGTATACTGGTAACCAATTATAATTTTTCCCCCCAGAAATAACTGAATCATTCATCCCTTGTGGTCACGTTTCCACTGCAACTCTTTATTTTATCCTGTCTGTTTTCTTGCCTGGGCAAGATTTGTACTCCCCTTTTCCTCTTCTATTTCTCTTTCAGTCAACTATGAGCTGTTAATCTCTTCCCTCTTTGTTGTTCATAATAGAAATAAAATATATTTTAAAATATGTCTATATGAGGGTCTGTGTTCTTAGCTAAGGTGAGAATACCATTTTCTCCAAGCTTAAAAAAAACACACATTGAAGAAAACTGACTTTTATTTTCTTGTAGCTCAAACTAGGCCTGTTGAACCAATGGGCCTGTATTCCTTATCTGGGAGAAAAGTTCCTTCACCCCATTCTCTCTATTAATCCATCATTTAACGGAATAAGTTTATTTACCTGACATCCTCAGCTGTATCGCTAATTCAGAACTCTCAATTCTGGCTGCTCATTAGAATCTGCTGTGGAGCTTTTAAAAAATACCTACGACTGTGTCCCACCTCAGACTAATTAAATCAGAACCACTCTGGTGGAGCCTGGGCATATAGTTTTAAAAGCTCCCCAGAGAATTTGAATGTGCAGCCAAAGTGAGAACCACTGTTTCTCCCTAAAATAATCTTTGTTAAATCTTGCTTCATTGTTTTCACTGGGTAAGTTATCTTTTTTCAGTGGCCTGGGCTCAACCATTTAAGGCCAGAAGAAATCCTCAGAGCAGTTCCTCTCTTTTTCTGCCTGGTTTAATATCTTGTTTTAAGAAAATAGAGGCCCAGAGGAGGACATGGGATTAGAGTTGTAAATGAGACCACTTCAATATATAACTTCTAGGCTGTTACTTAGTGTATACTTCTTCCATTCTTTCCTTCCTCAAAATCTTTTCCTTCCTCTTTTAAGTGCATTCACTCCTCTACCCAATTTTCAATTCGCTTACTTGTGGTCTCTATTAAGAAAATTCTGAATACAAGTTTTGTTGGTTCTACCTCCAAAATATATCTGAGTCCATTTTCTTTTCTCCTCCACGCTCAACACCCCAGTCAAATCTTCCATCTTTGCTTACCTGAAAATCAGTCTCCTAAGAGATCTCTCAACTCCAAATCATACCCCTATCTAATCCATTCTCCACATAGCTACAAGAATGAGCTTTTAAAAACCCAAATTGGACCATGTCATTCTCCAGTAACTTCCCATTCCAGTTACTGAAACAATCTGGTAACTTCAAGTAACTTCCCATCTCATCTCATACTACTCTTCCCAACTCTTCATTGGGCTCAATTATCCTAGCCTTTAACAACACACCTCTTTCCTGTCTCAGATCCTCACTAATGCTCTTCATCAGGGCCTGAAAACTTGTTTTTCTCCTTAGCACTTCACTTCAACAGCTCCTTATCATCCATCAGTTCTCAACTTAAATATTACCTCCTGAGAAAGTACTTCCCTGGCTACTTTAAATACTATTTTCTAACTGAAGACACTGTTTATTTCCTTCATAGCTTTTATTATTATCTGAATGCATTTAATATATTTGTCTATTTGTTTTCTGTAAAATATAAACTCCAAGAGACTCGGATTTTTGTTTCCGCACTGTTGTAGTTCCTAGCACTAGAACAGAGCCTGGCACGTAGAGAGTGCTCAGTAAATGGTCTTCAATGAAGGCAATTGTGGAAACAACTAAATTGTTATTTATAGGGGAAGGAGAAGAGAATTTTGCTTTTTGTAGTTCAGTGTAACAATTTGACTCTGGTAAACTTTGAGATAAACCCAGATATAGATCTAATTTAGGATGTTCCCAGATGTGAGTTGTTTCATTTTCAAACACTCTTAACCCTTTTAGATAGAATAACGGTTAGCCCTCAAGATTATGCTCAGAGTAGAGAAGAAATGGCCTGTGTTACTTTCCTTTCCTGCACTTTGGCTTCATAGAGAGAGAGATTTCTTTACTCATCTTTTCTACCACACTGAGTTGTTTTAAGTAGGAAAGAGACCTAGCTCATAGTCTTTCTCTAAGTATTGCAGCTCAGCAGCAAACCACTTGGATGGGACAGGGATTGGAGCTGTGCTGGCAGAGCATCCTTTGTTGTTTTCATCTCAGTGGTCTACTCTGCACGTCTATTCAATGCTCAAACCCAATGTTTTTCAAATAAATGGATCTTGAAATTGATTTAGTACATCTTTGCCAGAACTAAAAAAAAAAATTACAATAGAAAATATCAAATGCTTAAAATGAGTACAGGTGAGTATTATTTCATAAAACTTGTTTCAGTTAAGTATACTATATTTGTATTTCTTGCTACAGGTTACAGTTAAAAAGTTTGAAATCCACAGCTTGCTGTTGTCCAAGAGCGCTGTGAACTTGGACATTTCCTTACCTTAGTTTTAGGTCCCCGTACTCTTTTGTCCTCTCACTCATCTTTTTAGATAGTGCTCAAATGTTATCATTTATTTACAGCTTTTTCAACCAGTCTGTGGCCTGATGATACTTACATATAACTCTTTTTTCACGTATCCCTTATACCAGAGCTATTTATATATCTGGCTTTTCCAGGCCACATGGTGGACATTTGAACACCAGGATTTTTGTATTTTTCACTTTTATATTGAGCATCAAGCGTGTTGTGCTGGCATCTGAACCATTTCCACGTTCCAGATTGTTGGTGTTGAGTACACACAGGATCGTAGATGTGTTTCGTACGACTGCGAGAACCAGGGTTGATTTTCTACATCACATACATTCATGCATGTATCCAATCATTCATTTATTCAACAAACATTCTGGACTTCTTCTCTGCACTAAATATTCTAGAAACAGGGAGCAGGTCAATAAACAAAAACGACAAAAATCCCTGCCCCTGAGGAGCTTATATTTTTGTGTTAATGTTATATATTTTTCTTACATTTTCTAACTTAAGCAGATTATTATACCATTTTTTTTTTTGTTTTGTTTTGTTTTTGTGAGGAGATCAGCCCTGTGCTAACATCTGCCAATCCTCCTCTTTTTCTGCTGAGGAAGACTGGCTCTGGGCTAACATCCATGCCCATCTTTCTCCACTTTATATGGGATGCCGCCACAACATGGCCTGCCAAGCAGTGCGTTGGTGTGCGCCCGGGATCCGAACCCGCGAACCCTGGGCCGCCGCAGCGGAGCACGCTCACTTGACCACTTGCGCCACGGGGCCAGCCCCTATTGTACTATTTTTAACTCTCAACTTTTTTTCCTGTATTATTTTTATCTTGGATTCACTGATGTGATTTCCTCCCACAAATATTTATTTCTAATTTCTTTCTCTCTTTCATTTGAAAGTCTATTGTTTAAAAATGTATTTTAAAACCTAGTATAAGAACTGAAGGTAGTTCCTTCAGGATTTCAGGAATTCATTGTAATTCTCAAGTGTGTGTTGGGGAAGGGTAAAGGAGCAATGACATGAAAAATGTTATAAATATCTCTTTGATAGGAATATTCATTAAATGATGTAGTTACTTGGAAGCCGGCAGCATAGAAAGAGGCACTCCTGTCAAAAAAAAAAAAAAAATCCTTTATAGAAAATGAAGACAAAAGGTGGTGATTTTAGTATTTAAACAAATTGGAACATCAAACATATAAAGCCTAAATATATGTTATTCTCTTGATATGTATAGCATCTTTTAGATCCAGAGTGTACTGGCCCAGCTATTAAACCTAACACCAAAACAGATGACTAGCAAATTCATAGCTCCCTGATGATATTATTATGAGTAGTTGTAATCCTTTCCAAAAAATGTTTGTCTTGAATTGTATAGGTAGTGACAACAGGGATATTATAGACTTAATCCATAGTTATCAATTTGGTTTAAATTTATTGAGCCCTCTTAGAGTATTGAATATGGCATTTTAACAATTTCAAGTACAAATATTGGTTATGACATTTTAACACTTTCTACTATAAATAAGGCCACTATAATGAAAAGAGTACAGAAAAACAGGAATGTAAATTATAATATGGGGAAAAGTAATATTTCAGTGGATCTGTGGAAGTAAGCATTTGCTCACCTGCCACAGGCATAATAAGAATCAGGTAGCCTAATGAAAATTAGATATTAAGCTTAATGATTATCATTTAATAAGATCTTCCTCTCTCTTTTTCTCTTTTGTGAAAACTAATACGAAAGGAAGCCAACCATTTACTTCAATCAGATGCTTATGTTCTCATGGTATTTTGCTACTGAGGGCATTTAAAGTGCATAGAAGTAAATGTAGTCCTGGTAGACCGGTGATTCTCCAAGTGTGGTTTCTAGAACAGCAGTATCAGCCTCACATTGGAAATTGTTAGAATCACACAATTATGGACCCCACTCTCTGTCTAATGAATTAGAATCTCTGGGGTTGGGATTCTGCAGTCTTGGTCCTAACAGTCCTTCAAGTGATTCGGATGCACACTGCACTTTGAGAACCGCTGCACTAGACAATTTGAAGAGTACCAGGACCAGTGGGAGGCCATGTGGAGTTCATGGAATGGAGGGTCTGTTATCTTTTCTACGGCTATGTAGCAAATTATTACAAGGTTAGCAGCTCAAAACAATGAACATTTTTTATCTACTAGCGTCGAAGGATCAGGAGTTCAGGTACTGCCTCCCTGGGTCCTCTGTAAGGCGGCGATCAAGGTGTCAGCCTG